GATTCCAAAAATAATATTATATACAGAGTGTTCCATTTGAAAAATCAAAGTTGCTACTGCTTTCTAATAGAAGCGGCAACACCGCATTGTCGAAAATATTTTAGTTGGCTAGAGAATGTCCGAATATGCCCTCCATTAAATTTTCAAAGTGATCCGTTGTCTGGTTCACCAGAAACGTCTAATGTGCCATCCACCGTGAATCAGCCTGTATATACTATAATTACAAAATAGTAAACACTAAATTCTCAGAAATAACTGATATTTTCGCCTTAATCTGTCTCTTGCAGCGGCATACAGAAACTGTACTAAATAAATAAGGAAAAACCACGATAAAATAATATATAGAATCACAACTTTGACAACAATGTTCTCGTTTTAATGCAACAGTATTTCTGACAATTTAGTGCCTACTATTATGGAATGGGAAATGTTCCTCCTGACGAAAATTAAGTAGTTTTCATAAAAGAGCTCTAAAACAACGCATTTTAAACTCATCATTTCAACCTTTTTCTTTAAAAAATGATTTAAATACTTAAAAAAGAGGAATGAACTAATTCATTCAACATTTAAAGGGATTCGTTTCTATTTCACCATTTGGCAACATCGGTTATAGCTAATATCAAATCAAATCAAAATATGCTTTATTACCCAAGATATAAACATCTTATTGGCAAAGTCTAGTAAAGTAAAACATGTATAAGGGACAATTAACAAATATAAACTATAAAATAATGCTTAAACACCGGAGCAGAGTATATGGACAGAACAATATTAANGCATAATACAATATCCTTAAATGTATATTCATGAAATATACCTGGAATATCTATTGCTATATGCGCCACTGGAATCAATGAAGTCGCCCCGGAGCGCCAATTAATTTTTATTGTTGTTTTTATTTAATTTTTATCGTTGTTTTAATTGACTTGATTTTTTGAAAAAATTTAAAAAACCAATTATTCTCTGATGTATCCATTTATGTGTACGTTGATAATCATCTTCAATCACCTATTTTTTTTGTTAATTTTTATTTCTGATTTACCTTTTTTTTGTGCTCTGCTCATACTTGTATGTTTCTTGGGAAAATAAATCGGTACTATTGAAACATAATTCTTATGGCCGATTTGTTGTTAGTAAACAGTTTAAACATTATTTGGATTGGCACATTCATTGAATATCTCCTTAATTTTCACGTAATTATCCCCACTGATTTTTTTCGAGTTCATTAATCACATCAAATAACACGTAATATTAACTTTTCAGATTGATTATCAAATTAGGGCGGGTGCTCAGAAAGGATGAAGTGAAATGTGGAATTTATCACCTCAAGATGGACTCTTTGGATGTCAACAACCATTTATTCGAACACATCATATCCCGAGGTCAATCGGTCGGTTCAGTTAAAAAGGAAATTCTTCTTCTGGCGAAAAAGCAACACATGCTCGACATACCTTATAACAAATGTAGGTTGAGAGAAAAAAGTTTCAAGAAACCTAGAAAAATATATTTTGATGACCAAAAATTCGACAAGGACATTCACGTATCACCTTCCATGGAAATGTTTCTTCAGGAACTCAACGACGTAGATAAAGTTACCGCTAAGGATCAGTTGGTGCTTTTCGTAAGGCAGTGGTGTCCGTCGACCTTATCTGTGAAACCTTTTCAAGAGGTGATTCTCGAGAGTTCTACCATGGAGGAGTTGAAACAGAAAATATCTGCGTTGTCGAACATACCTGTCGAAAATTTAGAAGTAGCCCACATCAAGCAGCCTCTTCCTTGCGATTTTCATATTTTGGATATACACAGCGAATTGGATTGGAATCCTAATATTAGAAATTTGGAGCAGTGGCCGATCAATGTTGATGACGGCACTGTATTTTTTTTCAGGTGAGTACTGTTTGTTCTCTGAATACAAAATGACAACAGCTTTCGTAAGTAAGGCAGAGTTCTGCCTAAATTATTATTACTTGACTCCCAATGCTTAAACCTTTTCCGCTCATACTTAACTGAACGTATCCTGTTCGTAGATTATAGGGGTCACAAGTCGTTTCAATTTATTGCAAACAGTGGTGCCCCTCAAGGAAGCAATTTAGCACCTCTTTTATTCTTACTCTTCATTAACGACATAGGAAATAATCTCGCTAGCAATTTCTTACTCTTTGTAGATGATTTGAAAATCTTTCGGCCCATTACATCACAGGAGGACTGCTTAATCTTACAAAAAGGCCTTGACTTTTTGTACAATTGGTGTACCAAAATAATACTCAAAATACACATTTAAACATAATGTTATTTCTCATGATTACTGCATAAATAACACACCTCTTCAAATAAGCACTCATCAAAGGGATCTTGGTGTCATATTTTACCCTAAACTGAGTTTCTCCATCCACTGTGACACAATAACGTGCTCAGCTAAACGTATGCTAGGGCTCATTTATCGTAACTGTAAGAACTTTCGTAGCAGAGACAGTTTTTTAACTCTTTTCAATGCATACGTCAAATCTCGACTAGAATATGCCTCCCTTATACGGTCACCCATATACAATGTCCACATAAGCAAAATCGAGTCTATACAAAGAGGCTTCATGAAATATCGAGTGTTCCAACGAAAAGTATGCACCTTGCTTTTCTCCTTTTTTTGTAGCTTAACGCAAAAATGCTCGGACAGGTCAATTTTGCTTTTGAGGGGGACACATTTTAGATGTATTTTTCTACCTGTGCCTTCAACCCCCTAACGAGGGTGGGTAACAACCCTAAAATAGTAAATGGAACGTGGGGTCGAGTGATATATCATTTGAATGGGCACAAAATTCTCATTCCAATGATACCTAATTAGTTGTATTTACTTGAATAGTTATAAAAAAAGCAAGAACATTTACTCGATATTTTTGCTGTTGATGAAAATGCGGAAAAAACGGCATTTTCATCACTACTACATTCCTCAATTTCTCTCGTGCGTTTTTTGGTTCAAATAACAACAGCAGATAAGTGTACAAAAAGAATTTAGGCAAACGTTCATTGATTCAGTTTGGTTGCTTTTGAAATTATTTCAACTTTACTGTAAAAATGGTTTATTTCGTTCCTGAACGAGTTGAAATTGTTAAACTTTATTATCAACATAATAGTTGTGCTAGACTTACTGCTCGCCTCTTTAGTAACAGTCATCCCGGGGGGAAAAATGTGAATGATTCGTATGTTGCCAAGTTAGTCCAAAAGTTTGTCGATACCGGATCTGTCTGTAATGTGAAACACCAGTCACGGAAACCGATCAGAAATGAAGCAGTGGAAGTCGCTGTTTTGTTGAATTGGATCATACTCAAAGTACCCGTCAGCTTGCTGCAGCTTCAGGTGTCTCCCGTTCGTCCATAATACGGATATTAAATTAGTACAGGAACTCAGTGAAGATGATCCTGATAGAAGGCTGCAATTTTGTGAACAACTGAGCCAGCTACTAATTGATGATTCGCACCTATCATTCAACACATGCTTTTCCGATGAGAGTACATTTTTTTTAATGGAGCTGTGAATAGGCATAATTGCCGTTACTGGGATGATAGGTATCATTGGAAAGATAATTTTGTGCCCTTTCAAATGATATATCACTTGACCCCAGTTTCTATTTGAAATTTTAGGGTTGTTACTCACCCTCGCTAGGGGGTTGAAGGCACAGGTAGAAAAACACATCTAAAATGTGTCCCCCTCAAAAGCAAAATTGACCTGTCCAAGCATTTTTGCCTTAAGTTACAAAAAAAGGAGAAAAGCAAGGTGGATACTTTTCGTTGGACCACTCTGTATATTACTTACAAGCTAGAAGGAGGCATCGACAACAGAATACTACTGAATAAATTTAATCTATTATCCCTTCAAAACCGAAGAACCTACTACTCTATAATCTTCTTTTATAAACTAGTGAATAATCAGATTGACTGTCCCGAACTACTCTTCCACTTCAACTTTCATGTTCCACGAATCAATTCTAGAAATGAACTGACTTTGAAAGTTATTCTACCATGTGAGCTTATTACTACTTCTCTATTACTGCTGAATTATGTTTTTTGTAATACACCTGAATTATGTTTTTACTTGTTAGCTCTATATCTGACTTATGGTTTTTTCTCAATTACTCTCCTAAATTGCTGCACACAAGTGTTCCCCTTATTTTTTGCTTAACTCTCCTAAATGTTTACTTTATTTTTTGTTTACTTGCTTCAGGTGTTTCTAGTTGATAAATTAGTATTGCATTCATGTATGTTTGTATGTATATATGTATGTGTATTGTGTGTATATAGGCAGATGTATGTCTTGTTATTGGGATTTATTTATTTATTATTTATTTATTTGACACTTTGGTACATTGAGTACATGTGCTAAGTCATAATTAAAATACAAAAATAAAACTACAGAAGTTGAACAATACAAAAACAATGAATATGGTTCACGTCCACAAACTTTCACAACATAGAAGTATTATATAAAAAATCGGAGAAGCTCTAGCAAATACTCTCAAAATGTCATGAAAAAGTGTCGTGCAAGAATTCCTCAAGACTGTAGTAACACTTCTGTAAGAGAAGTTTCTTCACCTCAATTTTAAAAAGTTTATCTGACTCGATTTTTCTAATAGATGCCGGCAAGTTATTATAACAGTTTGTTGTATTAAATAGTGGGGAGCATCTAAAGTGAGCCGTTTTATGTGAGGGGGTTCTTAACAGTTTCCCATGACGGGTGTCTCTACCATGTATATCCGCGTTTGTGACAAATTCAGTTATATTGTTACGGGCAAAAGTGACACACTTCAAGATAAATAAAGAAGGTGCCGTCAATAGGCCCTCTCTTAAGAAAATTGGTCTACAACTATCTTGAAAATCTATATTAAAAATTAGTCTCAGCAATCTTTTCTGAGCAACAAAAACTCGTGGAAATTCCCTTGCACATCCCCAAGAAATGATATTAAAGCTGATGTGAGAATAAGCCATAGAAAAATAGACATTCATCAATCCAAAATTATCTAGAGTGTTTTTCAATTGTTTGATTGAGTAATATGCGGAATTGAGTTTGTTGCAGACCTTCTGAATATGACCGCTCTAGGTCAAATTTTCGTCTGAAGACGTTCCTAAAAACAAGACTTCGCTGGAAGATCGAATACCATTTATTGTGGAAGAGTCACTGCTGAAATTTTTCCTAATAAATGATTTCATTGAAACAGATTTAGATTTATTCAGAATAAGTTTGTTACGTTGACACCAAGCACGGAATTTATCTATTATTTTATTTATTTTGTTTGACAACTCAATTTCGTTTTTGTCGGCCACAGTAATTGCAGTGTCATCCGCAAACATGGTTATGTGACACTCAGAAAAGAATTCAGACAGGTCATTTATGAAATTGAGGAACAACAATGGTCCCAGGATAGAACCTTGAGGCACTCCTAGTTTTACATCTTTGGGACTTGATAAAATTCCATTGCAGCTAACTATTAGACTACGGTTTTCCATATATGATTTCACCCAGCTCAATAGATTATTTGGGAAACCTAGGCCTAGGCCTATTCCTGTTTAGATATTAAACAATTAAAAAAAAAAATTAATGCCAAACCCAAAAAATCTACAATGTATGAACATCTCCAAGAATCAAAACACATAATAAGTAAAGATACACCCCTAAATCCTAGATTAAAAAGTTTGGTTTCAATAAAGTCATAAGATAGACAGTCAAATGCAAGTGAGAGGTCAAAAAATATTCCTGCCACGTGCATACCATTGTCTAGGGAGTTATAGATGATTTCAGCAAAACTACAGGCAGCTGACTGTGTGGACTTGCCTTTACGAAAACCGTGCTGGCAGTCAGTAAGAATCTTAAAATTCAACAGAAAGTTAGCCATTCTCTCGTTAACTAGTTTCTCAAAGATTTTTGAGAAAATACTCAAAAGAGCGATAGGACGATAGTTAGTCACATCTGATGTTTCTTTACTTTTGTGAATGGGAATAATAATGGCCGTCTTCAAGAGTGTCGGTTATGATAGACTGATTGAACAGGCGAGCTAGATGCTTAGAGATCAATACCCCATTTTCTTTTATGATTCTTACTGAGATATTGTCGTGGCCTGTGCTTTTTTTATTTTTTAAACCATTTTTAATATCGATAACTTCGTCTTCAGTTATTGGCGCAAAGAAGAATGTGTTTATTAAAATGTTGGAAGATGTGCATATAGATGATCTATTGCTACCTAAATGTTTTTGTTAAAAAAAATGTTAAGTTATCTTCTACTACTGATGAGAAGTAATCACCGAAAGTATTAGCCACCCTTTTTTTTATCAGTGATCAACTCATTACCATGGTTGAGAATGATGTCAAATTGTTTTTTCCCTCTACCCATTTCCTTGTTAACTAGGTTCCAGACTGTTTTGTTTTTATTGTTTGAGTTCTTAGATTTGCATGAAAATCCAATTTAGCTTTCTCGACCACATGTACTGGAAACCAGAAAGTAAGGTTAGTTTGATAGTAAGCAAAACATCAGCTGTGAACAGAACAAAATAATTCCCCTTTTTCTGGACAGTAAATGTGTTTCAGCAGTGCTGCCAACTCTTCTACGTCCAGCACAAATTATTTTACAATTTTATTTGTAGTATATAAAAGCTGTTAGAATCGGTAACAAATTAAAAAATTAATATATTGATGTGCAAATGTGAAAAATGGTAGGTGAAACGGCTTAATAAGTGTGATATTTGGATTTAGCACCCTAAAATACAGAATAATGAGGTGTTTTAAGTAAAAAAGTGTTTTCATCGTTGGCCTGTGTTATCTGTCTATCTATTCATCTATATGCATTTATGGTGGGGTATATATTCGTAATATCTTCATATTTTTCTGATTTGAAACGTATCAAAATTTGTTTACAGAGATAGCCGCGAAGTCTTGAAGGAATTAACGACAGAGGAGAGGAAGGAAATCAGCCAGAAAGAAAATGCCCGACTGGGTAGGTTGAGCATAAAACCATATTCTAATGGAAGGGAGAGAGCCTTGAAAATATATCTGGATACGACCCCAAGTAACATGGGAGACAACTGTATAGACTGACAAGCCACAAAACAATTTTACTCATTGTTCTATTGCGTTATAAGTTGATGTTTCCGAGGCTGTTTGTAAATAAGCACATTTCAGAGAGAAGATCTTTTTTTTTCTAGTTACTTGTCAGGTTTGATGTTGAAAATCTGCCGTTTGGGTGTGACGAAATTTGACAAAAAGGAATACAGGTTTTGATCTCGTGCTAAAATCGCCGATGAGTTTCTAGCATACTTTTCTTGATGAAATCTGGAGTCGGCTTAGAAACGATATGTATATGCATTTTGTGTTTATACAATAATGATTTATTTTATTCGTAAATTTTTATCTATGTTATGTGTTATAAATAATCTGAAAATTCAAATACAACTTGAAGCCTACGATCCATACCATACTTTGGAATGGGAGTAAACTGAGAGAGGAGGTTTACGAATCCTGTAACCGATAGTACTGAGTACGCTCTCATTATTTTTTCTTGTTTTTGAACATCTATTCCGGAGCATACTGCAAATCTATTCTCAATACCCAACAATTGGACTTCAATACCTCAAAAAATAGGTTCGTTTCGGAACTGATTGAAAGACAAAACTGTCACGGAATAATTTTGATGAAGGATAAGGAAAAAAAAACATTAATTCAAAATCTAACTGAAGCATAACTACGTACTGTCTTTTAAGAACGCGACCACGCCGCGTCCTGATTCGATATCTGCGGCAGTTTTCTACATAAAGAAGGGGGGTCCGGGGGGCCCAACGAAATTCATCAGGAATCGGTTCCGTAGCTTACGAGATAGAGTCGCCTCCCACGTCCTAGCACCGTCTTCTCCCACTTCAAAAATCTTAGAATTCTTCCCTCTACGCGAACCCGTATCGCTTTTTCTATCTCCTAGTCTCATGAAAGTAACTGTGATCCGTTGTTAATGGGTGCAACAGAGCACAGAAAAAATCGGAACTGAAACTTGGAAAAAAAAGAATTGAATATAAGTATCAAGATACACATTGTGCAGTCACCGATACAAACAATTTTTTAAGACGCTGAAGGGTCATAGTTCAACAATTCAGCTCGTCGGTTATCTAATGGACAAATCAAGTCGTCCATGAGGGCTAAATAATTGACAGTTTAAAACAGTTGACTATAGATAATCGACAGCTTGGACAATTTTTTCTTCGAAGTTATTGTGTAGTGACGGTTTTATCGAGGAGCGTAATTTTTAAATGAGGGTGGATTTGCTGGTATTCTTCGGTGATAGTGTTCAATCGCGTTGAATCGTTTCGAGTGCCACACTAGTGTGTACGTTCGTTACATCGATGAAATTCCGTTTACAACTTGAAAACGTGGTCAAAATGTTATTTTTGCGGTTTTCACACCGTATACAAGTGAGAGTTGATTTTTCATTTTTTTCGTTACTGCATCGTTTTTTGTGTTTTTGTATCAATATTCTATGCTTCTTTGGCATTGATTGATGTCATAAAAATTGTTGGTTCGATCTTTACGGATACCTATATCATTTTGTATTTATTTCCTTTTTTTGGACTGGAAGAAGCTTTTTTGAATTGGAATCCAGGGGAATGTGAAAGTGTTTGACATGAATGATAACATCGAATCGAAGCCTACGAAAAAGATGAGCTTCAGCCTTGATGATTATTAAACCTTACAGTTAGATTTTGAAGTTTTACTGCTTTTGCGAAATTATTATAATCATATTATTCGTGTTGACTCTTTGTCATTCTCCCTGAATTTTTCTTGTAGAATAATATCGACTAAATCAAATGTGGTGATGAATATTGTATGGAGCAGTGGCAAATATTGTTTAAAAAAACTGTCGAAAAATTAAAGGATTTGTTTGTCAATTTTCGTTATTCATTTGAAATACATTTATCGTGTAAAATAACAGAGTTTTATTCAGTCGACCTAAAGAGCCCCCTGTAGTAAAACCAAAGTTTTTAGTTTTGTTTATGATAATGATGGAAAAAAGGAATGAGAATCGAGTTTATTAAAATTATTCATTTCCATTCTCAGGTTGGCAATAACGAGGATGACTTTCATTGATAAAATACAAATAGGCAGAGTTCGAATCAAAATATACTTTACTGTGTAATACAAATCTTATTGACAAAGCATTGTTAATTGAAATAATACATTTACCAATTAGTTGGTGAGTTACTATGTCTATAGGAAGATAACTGCGAACACAAGTAGATAGGACTTGATCAACAGATGAAAAACAGCCGAGCCAGATTGTCAACATGAATACTTCAGACAACTGCGGTGTATGTTCCTCATAAGATATTAGATATATCTCATGTGAACCTACAGTTTTCCAGGTTTTTATGACGAATTTTCCAAATGGAATACGTTTCTCAAGTGCCTGATGGTTTTACTTCAGTTTTCTGCGCGGCATTAGCTGGGTTAGTTATCTTTCTGTCAGGTATTTGCCACATGTACCTACAAAATCGTAGGTTTCGGAGTACTTGCCTCTCGTCAGTACCGGGCAGGTCATTTCCGTCGGGTATCAGCCACATGTATCTTCAAAGTCGTAGTTCCACATGAGAAGCAAGGGGTGAGGTGTTTTTCACCCGAACTTGGCCATGTCATATGCACCTCTCCAGAATATGTTTCATTCTCATTCCTACCCCGGATTATGTTTTTGTAGACTAGTTTCCGGACTTTTTCTGCAGGTGATGCAGTGATAAATCCTACTGAATTAACTGCAGATTGAGCTTATGACTAGTTGTTTGTTCGGAATATTCAGTTTCACTTCGTTTGAAATGACCCTTCCTGTACTGACGAGGAGCTAGTACTCGATGGTCGTCCTGACCATTTGAAATTAATTTCAATTTTCTGCGCGGCATTAGCTGGGTAAGTTGTTGGTTCACATGAGAGGCAAGGGGTAAGGTGTTTTTCACCTGAACTTGGGCATGTCATATGAAGTTCTACGGGATGTTTTATTACTCTGACTCCCACACCTGAGTATGTGTTTGTGGAATTGTTTCCGTACTTTGTCTGCAGGTGGCGCAGTAGACATCCTACTGGATTAACTGCAGTTAGGACTTATGACCAGTTGTTTGTTTGAGACAAAGTTGCCATCGCTCTATACAAGCGACCTGCCTAGGTCCGAAAGAGTGAAGATATCCCTGTACGCCGATGACACGGCTCTACTCTCGTTTTCCATGGGGCGGGAGCTCGGCGTCGTGTACATGCAACGTGCATTGGACGACCTCGAGCGCTGGTACCTCGATTGGAAGATCCGAGTAAACCCGGAAAAGACTCAGGCGATAACCATGGGAAGATTACTATCTTCTCCGGCCAGAAAAGTGAGAATCTCTGGAAGGGAGATTGACTGGCAAGCGCGGGTAAAGTACCTCGGCCTTTTAATAGACCGTAGGCTCACTTGGAACCCGCACATTATGTACGTTAAATCCAAGATCGAGGGTCGGATAGCCAGTCTGTACCCTCTGATCAACAGGAAATCCAAAATGAGTTTAAAGAACAAAATCATGATCTACAACACGATGTTCAAGCCTGTCATCATGTACGCTTCAGGCGTCTGGGGACAAGCGGCTCCGTCCAACATTTCCATTTTGGAAAGGTTGCAAAACAAGTTAATCAGGATGATTGTGAATGCTCCTTGGTTCGTGCGGAACGAAGCCATCCGCAGAGATTTGCAGCTGCCTTCCATTCGGCAGTCCATTCAGTCGAGGAATGAGAGAGTTTTCGAAAAAACGGAAACTCACGAAAACCCGTTAGTTAGGGAAGCCACAGATTATGCTGTAGACGACCCCTCCCGATATAGAAGGCCCCGACACTCTGTCGAATGAGGCCCTCATGTCCCCCGTTAAAGGATGAATAACTTTTTCATCCATCCCACCCCAGCCAGGTAGGGGTATCCCGTGAAGGGCGGCACTGATGTCTAAGGACTTCATGCCGTCATCTATCAGTCATGTACCCATTGGTCCCTCTCAAGGCCAATGATCAGCCAAAAGGGTAGGGGAGCTGGTCTCCAAACCTGGATGAAATTAGGATGACTCGTCAGCACAAAGTTGCCAACTGTAGTGGAATTCCGCTACCATAGCCGAATTTACTCGATGGTAGCGGCGTAGTGGATTCGAACATAAAGTAGCGAAACTTTCTACAAACAATCAATATTGAAAAAAATATTTAAGTAGAAGAGGCAGTGGACAGCACTCCAAGCTGACAGGTGATAATTAAATGCACAGTCAATACGTTATACTCTAAGTAGCTGAGGCCATTACATTATGAAAGAGAAGAAGAGTATTTTTGGATATTTTCATTCATGTCATAACCTCCAATATCTTGAAACTAAAAGTTTCGAGTATTATAAATTCTATGGAACAAATTATAGTGGAAATGGAAGATAGTCCATCTGATTGTAGCTCGAGCGAAAAAGCTATCGCAATTGAAATTGACGGAAACGGGACATGTTCAAAAAAATACAAAAAGTCTCAAAAACAAACTTTTTCAACATTGGTTGTCTGATTCCAACTTGAAAGGATGGATAAGACCTGCCGCGAATGATCGTTCAAGAGCTCAGTGTGACTATACGTACGAGAACAAATTGATATTTTGTTTTACTTTTCAAAATCATCTCAAGCTGAGAAATATTTGGTCGAAACGACAGCTTTCAGATATTAACTGCTGTAAATTTAGAAAATTAGTTACCATCTACTGAGTTACGCGATGGAAAACTAGCATGATCCTGATTGTTAACATTAGATACAGTTCAGATTTGTGGTATCCGAATGGTACATAAACTACAAAATGTAAGTTTTGTGGTATTTAATTTTGGATAGGGCGCATGGGCGAACTGATTGCTTCAGATATACAAGCGTAGCGTAATATGAAGCAGTGTAGCGGAATTTTGGTTCATGTGTAGCGACTTTATGATTCATCCAGTTGGCAACACTGGTTTGGGATATTCAGACGAAATCAGCTAAAAGGGTAAGGGAGCTGAGCTCCAACCTGAATGAACTGAAGACGCCTAGTCAGTATATTCAGACGATTCACTCCGTCTGAAATTACCATCTGAAATATTTTATTATATATTTTCTCTAGCCGATCACATTCCGCAGACGTTGCGTAAATGAGGCTTTTAGCATACCTCTTCCAACAAAAGTGAAATTTTTGATTTTTTATAAAGTAAAAGGCAAACCTTTATTTACTTTCATTGTCATGGGAAGATAGGTTGAAAAAAAGAATAGCATACAAAATGTATTTTATTCAAAACAGATTTGTAACAGTATTTGATGCAAAATGAATTGAACATCTTTTAATCAATTCACCAGTTCTTTTACACTCTTCAGTTGAACTGAGATATGAAATTGATGATGAAATAAGGCACTGGATGTTATACATCACGAATAGGAATATTTTTCTTGTGTTACTTATTATTTGATTCCGAGCTATATTTATATCACACAATTGAAGTGCATCTGACATTTATGTTTTGGAATAATGATGCACTGAATACTTAAATATAACCCACCTTTTGAAAAGGAGTATTCAATTATTTATATACAATAAATAATACAACAGCGTTTTATAAAAATATAAAAATTTTAATTCTAGGCTCTGATTTAGAAATGGTGGAGTGTTGTATATTTTCTTGGAAGTAATAATACCACCATTACAGTTATTATTGTAACTAGACAATTTGCACAAAAATACTTTTTCAAAGGAATGCATGATTCTATATACTGGTTAAATTATTCTAGTATTTGTACAATATTTACAATTAACCCTGTATATGACACTTTCGCCACTCTGTACATAGAACACTCATACGCTATATATATGAGTGAGTTCATCAATCACAATAAATTTTCTACAGGTTCCTTCCAAAGTGCCTGATCTATAACTTAGGAGGAAATACATAAATCAAAAAAGTAAATACCAAGTTTGGGGACCTTCAAGTATTACATAAGCACTATAGGGGGGCGGGGGCTCTTTGCTTTGCTTATTTTTGATGACATGGGGGACGGGGATCTAGATGGTGGTGGTTATTTACATTTTTACACAAATGGTAATCCACGCATTGTCTGTTTGAAAATTAAAAGCAATTTTGGGGATTCCCACAAATAATGCTTACATTTAGGTACCCGCTTAGAACCGAGCAGGGGAATTACCGCGCGCTATTTGCTTGTCTAAATTTCTTTTGCCAATCTATTGTTTCTTTTCCGTACGATTTGACGTATTGTAAGCAAAGCAAAACAAACCACGTTAATGTTTATGTTACCGTTGACACACTGGGCAAACTTAGACAAATCCAAGTTATTCCAAAAATTATTCGAAACTTTGAAAAATCTCATACAAATACTGAAGTATAAAATGTACATAAGTTAGTTAACGAGGTGTGGCTTAATAATGAGTTACAAGCAAAGTCCGACAAGGACTTACAATGTTTATGCAAGCATTGGAGGAGGGAGGAAGATATTTGCTTACTTATGCTGCCAAAGGGGTGGGGGGTAAATAATTGTAATGAATATGTTCACGTATTACTTGAACGGCCCTTCTTTCACAATTTTCTGGGGGGCTATTTGAAATTTAAAATTCACATGACCATAGGACTAACACAATTTTTAACAACAGTTCATTTACCATATCGCTTGACTAGAAGGCGTATATTGTTGAAGTCTTTTGAAATGGAAATGAATCATAATTCGGAAAAAAAAGTAGTTTGAAAAGAGTAGTTTGGTGTAACTTCAATATATACGTTTCGGAGAATCGTGATCCTGATTCTATTTTTGTAAAACGTTCACTATAGATTTCATTCATCTACTCTGTTCCATTTTTTTGTATGAGAAAGATCCCAGTCATAGGATGTGAATTTATAAAAACTTTACTAGACTTTCTGACCATCCCCGATTTGTATCCATTTTGAACCACTATCAATTGACGGTTTTGTCTAAAACTGCCTGTATATCAAACCTTTTAACAATTTGATCCCAGGGGGGATTTGTATGGGGGATTTGTAGTGGAATGACTGTCCAGTTTATTGATTACATTGATTATTTTGCCCTATTTATTATATAAAGCATTTTGAAATATACTAGGAAATGTTGTAGATGAACAGGAATAGGAATATTGAGAAAGAAGGTTCTGGAGAATCATCTCAATATTTCTTCTCAAACTGCACTTTCTATTACAGTTTTGGTTACACTCGAAAGTAATTGGACCAACACTAAATGCACCTTAACAGTAAACAAATATCAAATGATCCACGGATAATAATCACGAATTGCGAGGAATCAACAAATGCGTTATTGCCAGATTGTAGAAGTGCCGTTAATATGTTCTGATTTTCTCTGTCAAATTGTAAATTTCAGGTTTGATAATAGAAGTACACTAACCTATAAACGATTCGAAATCAGTTGAAAGATTCAACAGAGATATTGTGAATTTTCATTAGATAGAGAGTGAGTCCTGCTACAAATTGTAAGCTACTGTAGGTAATTTCCTTCTAAGTTGGCGACCAAACAATTTGAATATATTTTCTATAAATTAGAGAGCCTTACATAGGAATTAAGTTCCCCATCGATGGGTGAAATAAAGCTTTTTCAGTATTAATGTGTTGGTTTCTAAAAAATCAAACGTAATCTGATGGAACAGAGACATTTTCACTAATCGCTGCTAGCCTTTGAACTGGCCTCCGTACTTCACTATTTCCGTTACTCTGGTCCCAAGTCGAAGAAGGCATGGTTACAAGTCCAACCACTTCGTATGCCCTCTCGGGCACTGTGGTTGTGGATAAATCCGAATAGTAAGCACTACTGGGAGCACTAGACGTTGGAGCGTCCGGATCTGTATAAGCCGAGTTTTGGTAAGCTGGGCTGTTACTGTCTCTGTCGTTTCCTTCAGTAGAGCTCTCTCTATCTAGCTCGGCATACAGGGCTTCTCCTACACTATTGTAACCTGTAAATATTGAAATATAGATGAATACAGATGAAAGTGGGTTTCCAAATATTTCTTATTTTCAAATAAGGTATATAGTTTCAAATATGCCCTCACCATTGGACTGCTGAGCTACAGACTATAGTATTCTCTGAGAGTAAAAGAATTTCTAAAATGCAAACATGTCGCTACATCAAAGAAAACAACATAGTCGTCTCAAGCAAATAGCACTGCAATTCACCCACAAAATCATTGAGATAAATCTACCCTCTATGTTCCTTGAGGACGCCGCTGACGAGCCATTAAAATAGGGATATGCGACAAATAACGCGAAAACACCGACAAAGAATGCGAAAACACCGACAAAGAATGCGAAAACACCGACAAAGAATGCGAAAATACCGCTAAAAGAACTGTTCTGATATTACGTTTAAGATAATATTAATAGGCGTCGGACTGGGGGTATTAATATAAATTTTCCATCGATATATTCTGTATGATGAGAAGATAATTGAAATATGGTGAACACCAATTTTGTTTAAATATTTTATTTTGGGAAGGACAATTTATATTTGAAATAGTTTTTTATTATTTAGAATTGTTACCTTCTACAGATCTATAAAATAACCAGAATATTAAATTTACAAATAAATACAAATGTAAAAAGGGCAAAAAGTTACTGCATTTGATAAATTAGCCTTTGGAAAAAAATCAAATTTGTCATTAGTTTGAATTAAAAAGATAATTTTATTAAAACAACGATAAAAATAAAATAAAAACAACAATAAAAATTAATTGGCGCTCCGGGGCGATTTCATTGATTCCAGTGGCGCATTTGCTTTTTCAGCTGCAGGAAAACCCGGAAAAACCTGCAGCACCACATCATCTGAAGATCCTGATCTAACAATGTCCTCTCTCTTATAAAACAAAATGTAGGGTGTCTCCAGAGGCTCCAATAAATTCAATGCATCGCCAGAACACTTCATGACACGACTATCGTCAAACTTAAACCAGTCCGTTTCTTCTTTGACCAAGGCGTAATAATGACCAAATTCAACGCCAGAACCACAGTGAACAATGACTGCATGAATATTATATGCATGCATGAAATGTTCATCTATTTCGAACCTTCCAAAGAGTTTCTTGCTTCCGTTAGAGGTTGAGTCTTGTTTGAAAATCATCAGTGTTATTATTAGATTGACTGGTGCCTCAGCTATACTTGTTTCCTTATAACAGTCAGTTACTTTGGCGCATGTTTGACAATACAGTCGATCATCACCTGTTGAAAATTTCATTTTCAGATGATTTAACAATAAGCTTTGCACGGACTGGTTATTAGTCATATTAGGAAACGGTAGTTGAAGTTTCAGAAAATCACACACGTTTTTGCTACCTCTTGAATATTTATTACAAAGTGAACAAGTGAGGATTTTTCCAGCAAAATATTAACAAACACAAGACGAGATAGACTGTACGGAATCATTCCATCCAGAGCTTTCATGAATATTGATTTTGCTATTGTTTTGCTCACGAAGAGTATTCAACAAGAACCCCAAGAATTCGAAACAATCCTCTTGTTGTCCTAACGAGTATCTACTGGACTTCAAAGACTGCAGAAAATCGGTTGGAGGGAAAGATGATACATTCTTACGAAACTGCAGCTGCATGAACAGGTTTTTGAGTTTGGTGAATAAGTAGAAAACATTCTCGTTCTCATTCATCGCCATGAACAACACTTGTAAAATGCTATTCATGTAGCAAGTGTTTCCTAAATTATCCAATCCAATTTTCTTCTTTAGATTTTCAGGACAACTCTCTACTAATTCGTAAGGAAGAACACGTTTCACAGAATCTCCATAAGAATTGAATTTAAAAAATTTTGCATATTAAAAGAAATATGTATCATCTGGTGAAGTTTTAAAGACTCTATCCATTTTCTTCATCCAACCTATTTGAATCAAAACATTATAATTTGAAGTTATGATTCATCTTTTGCTGTAAATAAATTTGATATTATTATTATTATCATTGACACTGATAATATCAAATTGATCGTCGGCATGATAATGAAATGGATAAAGTATTTGAAACATCACCAGATAAGTACACAAATAGAATAGATTTCCGCGGTTAGAAAGTTGAACCGCGTTCAAAATTTTGCGCTGTTCGACGTTTCGGCTTCGACTTTGACATTTTCAGGAGGTAGAAAAGTGTGGCTGTGCTGAGAGATACACTTTATATATTTTTGTTGGTTTGGAAATGAAGATTCACATTCCTTATTGGATTTTATAGTTGACTCAGAAACAATTTTATAGATTTAATGGGAATACTTACTTCGAATAAGACATTGCGATAATTTTAATCTGAAAAAAGTCTATAGGGATTCGTTGAGTGATTCTTCACTAGATGAATCAGTTTCATTAGGATTGCTGACAACTGGAATATTTTTTTCTGATAATGAGTCTATGCGATCATCCAGATTCCACATCTCTGCTTCGATTCTGATTGTTTTGTGGATACCTTTTTCCCAAGCTTTTTGGTTGACTGTTTCCAGAGCACTGTATAGGAATTTCTTCACTTTACACAGCTTGAAGGTCTTATTATTCTTTGCGATGAATCCTTTAACTTGGCCCAAACCAACTCTATTGGACTCAATTCACAGTAATAAGGCGGCAACCGAAGAACCGACATTCCTTTAGTCTTCGCCATCTCATCGGAGACATACCTGACGAATTTTGACTCATGACGTTTAGCCAAGTTGAGGAGCTCCGCTTTTAACATGGTCGATTCAAAAGGAACACGACGTCGGCAGCTTCTCGACTCATCTACTGTGGTAACTTGCGTTATTCATTACTATTACGGATCCCTGCTGAAGTTTTACAAGTATGTTATCAAACCATTCTTCGAATTCTGTGGCATCCATTTCTTGATGATAATCTCCATTTTTCTTCGATTCAAACACTATCAATCCATCTTTCACGAATCCTTCACTGCTGCCTATGTGAGTGATTATAAGACGACGACCTTTTCCAACTTGAATTTTCAAACCAGTGGACCAACCTTCCTTAAAGGCTTGTCTTCCACTTTTGATGTTCTGATCTTGCCAAACCTTCGAGACGGTATGACCCTCATTGACCCATGTTTCATTCAAATGAAAAATAGATTTACCTAGTTCTCTGGCTTTCTTTATTTCTCTTAAATAGTTTTTTCTCCATTCTACAATCTGATTTTTCTATCAACATGCTCTTTCTATCTTGCTTTCCAAAAGTGAAATTCAGCTCGTGTAATATCTTCCATAATCGAGTTCTTCATATATCAGGAAAAAAACTGTCTTCACGAATAACTGTCACAACTTTATTTTATGTAGGTATTTCGTTTTTTATGTAAAAAAAGTGTACTGTTCTCCTAATAGAATTCTTAACTTCTTCAGAGATAACCAAACACTTTGTACCAGTGTTCGGTTCGAAAAAGTTGTTGTTTTTCTTGAGAATTCTAAAAATTGACGATCTATTGACACCGGTAATACTCTCGCATTTTTGCACTACTTCCCCCTTACTTTTCATTTTGGGCGGATATTGTATTCTTAAAGAATTATATACATTCATATCAATTGTTTTTTCATTTACATTTAATGGTGACAATTTCGGACGCCTCACGATTCCCGAACAACTAGCTTCCATGTTGTATAGCTGTTTATTCAACGCGCTCACGAAGTAAACTGAAGAATATCACGAATAACCCCGCTAAAAAGCCAAATCGGTCTTATTGATGGGTGCGATGGTCTGTTGACAGTATAATTCAAAGGAATATCTATTTATACCGTCTTCAAAAAAACAATGTTTTTTCAATCCCCTTCAACTAACTACCTATTTGTTGGAGAATGTCTTGTTTACTACTGGACATATTTTGACATATGTCATAATAGATTTGTTATTTTATTTATTATGAATGATATTTTTCAAGAATAAATATTGTATTTTCGTCGTATAAATTCATTTATTCAATTCGTTGACGGGTGATTATTAAACGAATGTAACTTACAACAAAATTTATTAAATGGTCAAAAATACTGAATGCGCATATAAGCAAAATAAAAAAAAATATGGCTCTTCTTTGGCACCCCGAAAAAAAATCATAATACAAAAAAAATTGGAATCAGTACAAAGTATGGCCTCCACGCTGGTTTATTACGGCCCTACATCTATCGTGCATCGACAAAATGAGATTGTCAATGTCTT